CTGAGATTTGAATAACAAATCGAAATGTTGACATATGTTTGCCATTGTTGGCATTGTGGGTTCCCCTGGCCGAATGGCGAATGATTTAGCACAGACCGAAGCGAAATATAAACCGAGCTATAAAGATTTCCAATGCTCTTGATTGCTTATCTACCGGTTCGCTAGACCTTAGAAACAAGTTGGGTCTGTGAAAGTCCGGTGGGGAGAGAAAGTGTTATCACTCCCATCTTTGGTTTATAAAGCTATTGGGAATTGATAGATTGCTGATTAGGCCTTAATGAACGGCTTTATTGTCTGACTAAAACTAAAGATGGGTATTAAGATGCAGAAATAAGAAAAGAATACCTAATGTTTTCATTTTATTTTAAACTATGTATCATTAGTTCTTAATGATATGGCAAGATGATATTCCGACACAATTAATGTTTAATAAGGGTTTTAGGATATAATATCTTAATGGGTGGTTTTTCATGGTCTCTTTTATAGATATCATTTATAAGTATTTTACTAGTTACTAAATACTCAAGAACTAATGATATGAACATTGATCAATAATTATTTTTACTTATATAATATGATATTATATTAAGCCGATCTATTGCTATTTTTGAAAACACTGATAAAGAGTTAGAAATGAAACTGGTTTTGATGAGATTCCGTATCATTTTGAAAGACACTATGTAAATTTACCCCTGAGTATTATAGTCATTCTTTAAATGCAATCGATTATTAACAATAATAATAACCATAATATTTCGAACCCGCTATACCATTAAGATTATTATTATATACAATTCAAATGGAATACCGTAACTAATGATATCCCCATCTCTTTTCCTTACAGAGCCCTGCCCACAGCTCGTCCGCGTTCCACGGAGTCGGCGAATTCCAGCGAGCGGTGTCCCTCGCACGACTCCAACTCCTCGGACAACGGAGGAGGTGGTGGTGGTGGCGGCAACGGCGGCGGAGTGGGTCACCGGATGGACGCCGCCGCCATGTCCGCCGGAGTGATGGTACCCACCACCATGCACTCGACATTCCCGGCGGTGCCGCAGTCGCTGCCCGCCCAACCGCCCTCGATGGAGGCGTACCTGCATATGGTGGCTGCGGCCGCCCAGCAGTATGGATTCCCCCTGGCCGCAGCTGCAGCGGCGGGGGCGGGTCCCCGTCTGCCCCTCCCACTGGCCAATGAGGCAGCGGCTCCATTCAAACTTCCCCCGCAGGCTTCACCCACTGCATCCAGTAACAACTCTGAGGCTCTGGACTTTCGCACCAATCTGTATGGACGGGCGGAATCGGCGGAGCCGCCTGCCTCCGAGGGCGAGGAGGAGGACTTCGATGATGGTGGCAACAATCCGCTCGATCTCTCCGTGGGCACCCGCAAACGTGGCCACGAATCGGAACCCCAGCTGGGTCACATCCAGGTCAAGAAGATGTTCAAGTCGGAGAGTCCGCCCGCGAATCCCGTGGCCTCGCCCTCGGCCAGCCAACTTTTGCCCGGAGTTAATCCATATCTGGCGGCCGTGGCGGCTGCCAATATTTTCCGAGCTGGTCAATTCCCTGACTGGAATGGCAAAAGCGATCTGGTGGTGGATCCGCTCGAGAAAATGTCCGATATTGTGAAGGGTGGAGGGGGTGGCATGAGCCACAAGGAGAAGATGCACTCGTCCAAGGCCACACCACCGCAGGCACAAGCTCAGCCGCCAAAGAGTCCGGTACAACCGCCACCCAATCAGAATTCCGAATCCGGAGGAGGATCGGGAGGCGGCGGCGGAGGCAGCGGTGCCGGTGGCGGTGGAGTGACCAAGGCCAGGCACAACATCTGGCAATCGCACTGGCAGAACAAGGGAGTGGCCAGCTCGGTGTTCAGGTGTGTGTGGTGCAAGCAGAGTTTCCCCACCCTGGAGGCCCTCACCACCCACATGAAGGACAGCAAACATTGCGGGGTGAATGTGCCGCCCTTTGGCAATCTGCCGAGCAATAATCCCCAGCCGCAGCATCACCATCCTGCTCCTCCTCCACCACCGCAGAATCATAACCTCCGGAAGCACGGCTCGGGAGGTGGCGCCAATCACTCACCATCGGCGAATGTAAAGAATGCCTTCCAATATCGCGGAGATCCACCCACGCCGCTGCCCCGGAAATTGGTTCGTGGCCAAAACGTTTGGCTTGGCAAGGGAGTGGAGCAGGCCATGCAGATCCTCAAGTGCATGCGTTGCGGTGAGAGCTTCCGATCCCTGGGTGAGATGACCAAGCACATGCAGGAGACGCAGCACTACACAAACATACTGTCCCAGGAACAGAGTATATCCATAAAATCAGCGAATGCCAATGCCAACTCAGATGCCAAGGAGAGTCACAACAGTCTGAGTTCCGAGGAGAGTCGCACCCTTAGCGCTGTGCTCACCTGCAAAGTGTGCGACAAGGCCTTCAGTTCGCTGGGGGATCTGAGCAACCACATGGCCAAGAACAACCACTATGCCGAACCGCTTCTGCAATCCGCTGGAGGTCGCAAGCGGCCAGCGCCAAAGAAACGCGAGAAATCCCTGCCGGTTAGGAAACTCCTGGAGATGAAGGGTGGCGCCGGAAATCAGGATGATCTGGCAAACGAAAAGTCCGCGGTGCAGGGAAAGCCTGGACTAGGACCTGGTGGAGGCGATAAGAACGATGCTGCTCTGTTTGCCGAACGAATGCGGCAGTATATTACCGGGGTGAAGTCCCCCGAGGAAATGGCCAAAGTGGCTGCTGCTCAACTCCTTGCCAAAAACAAATCCCCCGAATTGGTGGAGCAGAAGAATGGCAATGCCAAGGCTCCGGGGGCATCCTCGGTGCTAAGTGCCATCGAGCAGATGTTCACCACCAGCTTTGATACACCTCCGCGACACGCCAGCCTGCCAGCCAGTAGTCCCTCCAACTCGTCCACCAAAAACACCTCGCCCGTGGCCTCCAGCATACTGAAACGATTGGGCATCGATGAGACTGTGGACTACAATAAGCCGCTGATCGATACCAATGATCCGTACTATCAGCACTATAGGTACACCAGCAGCGAGAGGAGTGGCAGCGAGTGCAGTGCGGAAGCCAAGCCGAGATTAGATGCGCCAACTCCCGAGAAACAGCAGCAAACAGGAGGAGGAGGAGGAGGAGGAGGTCACGAGGAGGAGCCATCCAAGCTGGCCATCAAGCAGGAAAGGGAAGTGGATGCGGAGCCCATTAAAATGGAGATCAAGTCTGAGCTGGCCGATGAGCAAAACGAAACGGAGGAGTGCTCCAAAATGGAGGCCACTTTGGTCAATGGCAGTGCGGGCAATAATAACAATAATAATAATAACAATGTGGAGAGGAGCTCCCCCAAGACACCCTCATCGGCGGCCAGTCCCCAGACCAGGCTGCTACCGCCACGCAGTCCTGCCGAGAGTCAGAGATCAGCTACACCAAAGTCACCCGCCTCTAGCCACAAGTCCTACGATGGTAGTACCGAGGGCAACAAGAAGTATCCCAGTGATTCGCTCAATGCCCTGTCGTCCATGTTCGATTCCCTGGGCAGCACGGGAGCAGGAGCTGCCAATACCAGAGCCAAGCTAGCGGCTGCCGCTTCCGCCGGAGGATCAGAGTCACCGGAGAATCTCAGCGCCGGCGGTAACTCATTGGCGGCCCTGCGACAATTCTGCGTGAAGAAGGAGAAGACCGCCTAAGTCCGCGAGCCGAGACGAAAAGCGAAACCGAATCGTTTGCCTTGTTTTCGTTGTTTCGAGCAAAACGCATTTTCAACATTTTTTGGTTTGCCAGCGCCTCGCCTCCGCCCCCCGGAACCCAAAAAAACCCTCCACCAGCGCAACTCGGGCCTTTGGGTTCAGGGTGGGTTTACGGCCTCGGCGAACCGAGATTCAAGTCAAAGTGCCACACGGCAGGAGCCATCGGTTGCATCTGTCTGCAAAATGATGGCGGGCATGACGACACTTTGTATTAACCGGACAAAGAAACGGATGTGGACAGAAGTGGACCGCCGAAGAAACTGGAAGATTTGTGTGTTGGCGACTGTGTACAGTACGGATGAGAACGGAATGATCCGAGATTCGCCGCCCGGCAGTGGGGGATGTTGTTATTTTGGCCCAACACGATTCCTGCCGCGTCCAGCTCCTCCGCCCATTCAGCGAGCACCAAGGCCTTCTTTTTCAAGGTAATTATCAGTTATTAAAGAAAGATACAAGTAAAATAGAATTACAATTTGGTTTTGAGCTCCAAAAGAAAAAATTACAAATTATTCTGTAAAATCTTTATATCGCTAATTATTTATATTTTATATATGTGTCAAACTAGAATTATTTATTAATAATTTTTAAAAATAATCCCTTGTAAAAGGTCCAAAATATTCAGTTATATTTTTATATCGGAAATTAGTAATATTTTTTTAATTCCATATACTTAATTAATCTTATAAATGTGTCATAATAGATTGGTACTTAAGAATTATTAAAAAAAAATGTTTAAAAACTAGACATAAAATATATGCATAATAGATTTGTACCTATGTTTTGATGTTCTAATGATAAAAGTACCATATTTTCAGTAGTCTGAAGTAGTAGTATCCCAACATGGTTCATTCTTATAAATGCTCATACTAGATTGGAACTTAAGAATTATTTAATACAATTATTTAAAAATGGTTGCTCTTATGTTTATGAAACATCAAAAATGACTTATACTTGATAAATACTTCCATAAAAACCACTTACTAATCACTCTCCTTTACTCTTATCATTTCAGGATGCAAAATAGATATGCGCCACTTTGGATTCCTTGAAAGACTGTGGCTTGCCGGCTGATCGGGGTGGAATGGAGGCTGGACGAAAGCCCACACCCGAAGACACGAGCCCTTGTTAGGGCTGCCACTTGCCTAGGCAAAGAGTTATGAAATTGGAAAAGAAAACATTGTGATCAAATAAAAGAAAAAAGTTTTTATGGAATTACCAAGATGCAACTCTTTAATTGTTTGGGAAATATGAAATATCAAAAGTTAATATTGGGAAATCATTTTAATTGTTTTTTGTTGGGGACCTTCTCTGCGACTATCTTTTCTTCTGCCTCAAAGCTCTTTTTGCCCGAAAGAATAGATGATAAGGCGCCGGTGAAGTCCGGCATGTCGCTCATTTTTGGAAACTGAATGCTATCGAGCTCCCTCTTCGTCTCCGGATCTTTGATAAGTATGGAAAAAGCCAGCATTAATAGGAACGGCATCACCATGAGGAGAACCATGGGATTTAGAATGACATCGAGAATACGCCATTGCTCCCGACTTTTGAAATAATTTCGGCGGGCGAGGGGCTGCAGACGCAGTGGATACGGTACTTGGTTGATAAGCGATGGCTGAATGTAGTTAACCTTGCGGGCCCGGTACTTTCCCTTTCCGGTTATCTCCACCCTCACCTGTTGAAAGTATATATCCGGGTGTTGAACCTCTAGGACATGACTCCCATTCTGCACTCCAGACAGCAAAAAACGTCCATCCAATCGCACGAATCCCTTGATCTCTCCATTGTTGATCGACAGTGTTATATCACGCAGCCAAGTCTGTGGCAGATTCAGACTTCTATCGGGTTTCAGTATAACCCCTTCAATGGTGTACATGGCAACTTCATCCTTTCGGCCATTTTTGCGAATTATAAGATCTTGATTAACCAGGGCGCTGCTCAGGCATACTATTGATAGAATCACAATAATTTTAAACATCTTCAAATATTAAAATATGCTTCGAAAGTACCATAAGGTAGCTATTGAAGTAAAAATCGTAGTTTTGCTTATGAACAATAAAGCAAGGCAATATTGGTTATGTTAGTAACATGATAGTCTAAATTAATATAGTTTTCAAATATTTTATGGCTTGGATTTCATCGTTAATTTATCACAAAACTACAAAGTTTGCAAACCATTCAAGTTCTCCATTTATAATATTGCTTAGAAGATTGTTAAGCTTTCTATAAATGAATGTGTTCTAACACACATAACACATGGTTGAACTATTTAGTTACCTTAATTATGTTAAATAAAATATTAATGTAATAGTTTTCCCTTGCGAAATTTTAGTTCCCGTTCAGAGAAAAAAAATCCACTCTATAAATTGCCGTCGGCAAACGCATATGATCATACCCCATCAGATCATGATAAAGTCCCAAGAAATCTGACTGCAGCTTCTCTTTTAGAAGAATGACTCAGAGCTGTAGAATGTCGTCTTCGTAAGAAGCCCAAGCCCTTCCTCGTCCCTTCCCAAAGTAAAAATCGTGACCCAAGCGACTTTTGTTCGCCCATCAGTTGCCGCATATGTGGAGACATTGTGTGGAATTTCGGCTTGGCCATAACTCCTTGGTATAACTCCAAGGTATAGAGCCAAGAAAAAGAAACCCGGGGCCAAGTAGCTGCCACAAATTTGCACTTTTGATGAACGTTTTCGGCTTCTGTGCCGCGCGAATCACGGCAAACAACATGTGCAATAATTTTAGACGGTGAGATGGTAATTTCGCAAGTAGCTCTAGAGGTCTCAACAAGTGTTCAACGGTTTTGGGCGCATGCGCTAACAATTTACGAATATAATTTGAGATCCAAAGGATCGCGGATGGGAATCGCAGGGCCGTTGGTGTCGTCATTATGGCAATTTCGTGTTCATCGTTTGATTTAGCGCCATCGCACCGGCATCTCGTCTGCAGACCCGTTGTTTGTATTTAAATTTTCCCCACCGATCTGCGATCTTTATACCCCCGATCTACGATCTCCGGGGTCTCTGGTCTCCGATCTTCGTGGCTGCCATTAAACAGACTTGTTGCTGTTGTGATATTATGGCTGCTGCTCCTGACTGCGCTCAATTGACAGCGCATGCGCATGAAAATTTAAATTATGGTTCGGATGGGATCGAAATCGGGTTCGGAATTGGGATCGGGGTGGAGGAGCTTCTTTCTATAGCCCATGCCCAACAAAAGTCAAAATGATCGCTGAATGGAAAAGAATTGCCACAGATTGAAATGAGATTTTGATGGGGTGTGTAAATGGGACTTTCACTTAGAGATTGAATTGAGATTAATTTGGTTTAAAGCTTTCAATAAATGATATCAATGGAAAGTGCTTAGAGACTTAAAAAGTAACTATAGCATATAAAAAAAAAATTTTGATTTACTAAACAGTTGTACCTTTTAAGTATTATATGAATCTCTATAACATATGATAGATAATAATGATATGATATAAACGTTCCAATTTACTAAAAACATATCAGAAATACTCTTATGGCTGTTCTATAAACCAATAATTTGACCTAAAACTGAGTCAGTGCTCTATATAAAACACATATATCTTAACCGGTAAAATGAAAATTGCCTGATCCAATAGAAAGCTCGGCGCCTTATCAATTTTTCTTATAAAAGTTCTATAAATAATATTAATCTAATCGGGAAGAAAAAAAGGAACGAACAAAATATGATCAATAACGATCAAAAACAAGGCGTAAATCAATCATCCGAGTTGATAGCTAATGAATGATTTACGATGTAAGACTCATGTCTGTGCCGTAAATCCGCCAACGCAATCATCATTATCATCATGATTATTATTGTCGCTATCAGAAGGAAGAGTTTTGGCATGACACACAACTGGCCAGGCTTATCCCTATCGCCAAATGGGTTAAACTCATCGACCCGCCGAGCTTTTCATAATAAAACAATTTCAACGATTGCAAGATAATCGTTTAATGACTTCGCCGCCGATAAGGCACAGAGATTTACTATACAGATTGCGATCGCTAAACGACTCTCGGCGTTATCAACGTAGCAGGATTACTATCTGCAATAAATCACTGCGAACGTGCTAAACTCTCTGGCGAAATGCCCTCGAGTACACTCGCCTCCCTGAAGACCCTTCATAACTGATTTGCTAGGAATTGTTTTCTGGTAAATCTGCCCTACCAACCAGATATTCCACAACACAAGAAAAAAACGAGACTCTGCGATGGCCATAAATTTAAGGGAACCTTTGTGTTTCTTATGCGGAAAAGGGAAACTTTTAAATATTCATGCGTGATATTTGTCGCAGCGACAGGATCGCTTTCAGATCCAACGATCGATTGTTTCTTCCCAAAACCGAAACCAGAACAACGACAGCATCCCAACCCGATGTCAGTCAGGCAGAACAATTGTTTAGGAGCCAGCAACACAATGGGTCATTTAGGCCGGACTTCATATGGCCCCTGCATCTTTCGCTTAACTTACCGAAAACGTTGCCCATCCTGACAGCCAACAAGTATTGCACGATCCCCGAATCTCCGAATCTGTATCTGAATTTGGTCTTAAATCCGGGGTGGATTCCTTTGGGGGGGCGCACGGGGGTGTTGTCCTTGTGAGTGATTTATTTAGTTTGTGTCAATTCCTGAAATTATTGGCCCCCAAATGCAAAATCGTTTCAGTTCTGGTCGTGATGACATCTCCCTGCATATCTTAACACATTTCGGTATTCCCTGAAAGATCATTTCACAGAAGGTGGATTACTGAACACTGGGATTCGAAATTTGTATGCAAATTTGGGCTGGGTTTGATTTAAGTTCGTACAGTTTTTGATAGACCTTGGGACTTCTGATGACTTTGAGATGTTTGATTAGATCATTAAAATTCATTGGAACTTATAAGAGTTAAAATGACATTTTGTATGAATATTGTATATTTAATTTTAAATATTATGGGATTGATTATAATTTTAAACGTGTACCTTATTATAGATGAGTTAATTTACCTATAAAAAACATAAATATTTTATTCCTATGGGTCTTGAGCGAAATATATTAATTTCTTGGGTAAACAATTTAAATATGTAAGTATATATTTTTTATTTTCAATGAATACAAATAAATATTTATGACCTATAGGTGTTACATAATTTATTTTAACTGCCATTAAGTGCCATTAAAGTGGTTTTCATATTGACTTTTAATAGCACCACATTGCTTTCTCATTATTTTATTATCCTACAGGGTCCTTCGCAGAAATTCTCAATGCCCGAAATTCCTATTATAATAAGCTTAGAAATAACTTTTAATTAAGGCAATGGATGTAAATGCCATTCTGTAAATTTTCCGGCCACTTGAGGCTCCAGATATGGCCGACGCGTTGACGATGATGAGGCAGCCGGCAAACAAGATGGAGTGGAGTGGATATTTCGCATGGAGACGCGGCCTGGGCGCATTTAAAACAAGTTCAAGATGCAAACAATGGATCATTATCCCGGGACAAAAACTAAGGTAAAACCAAAAGCGAGGAGGAGAGCGAAGCAGATACAATCGAGCGCAATCGCCACGGCATTCCCATAGGTTACACGGCCAGATGGGAGATGCCACAGGTCCAGGCCATACCTATACCTATACTAAACCATCCTATCCCATCCCATCCCATCCCATCCCAAACCATAGCATCCAAATCCCAACCCATCCAGAGATCCCGTGGAAGCGAGACGGCCAGATAGTGCGAACGAGAGGGAAGCTCCGATGGCGATGGCTCTTGTTGTTTATTGATTACACGCTTTTTGGGGAATGTGCATTGCATTGGGCCACGGTGGGTTGCAAGTTGCAACTCGCCAGCAACTTGCAACTTGCAGCTCGCGACTCTTGGCCATAATGGTGCGGATGCCAGCGGCTGCAACATGCGCCTGTCATGCGATCGCCGCCAAGAACATAACATCCATTACACAGCCATCGACTGGAGCAGAAGGATGAGGATGGGGATGGGTATGGGGATGTGGCTGGGGATGAAGATGAGGATGAGGACGCTTACGATTGTGAATGCGATTTGGCGGAGATCGCGGCGGCCAGGCTCCAAACATTGGGCTGTGGCACTACGGAGCAAAGAGCAATGGGGCTATCGCCGGGGCGAGAGCAATATGAAATTCAATGCCACATTTGCTGCATGAACTAGAAAAATACTGAAATGTTTGGCAAAGTGTTGAAAACTTAGAATTCGAGAAGAGTAAATACCCTGCGAGGCATGTCGGCATTAAAGCGTTCAGTCTAAATATAAAATAAGATAATTATTTAAAAATAAAAGAACAATGCTATAAAAGAAGGCAATTATAAAAGGAAAGACCATTCCATATCAAATACGGTTTAACCTAGACATAAAAAACCAAGAACCGAAAATCATAAATAATCCATTTATTTTTATGTATTAAAACAACGAAGCATAAAGTTCACCTAATTATAAAAATATTCGGTAACGGTTTGAAATGTAAATACCAAGAGTTAAGGCTTCAGAAACAAGAGAAATAATATTAAAATATTAACTATTTTTATAAAATCAAACTGTTTAACTTTCCAAACAGTCCCAAAGACTTTGACCACGCTTAGCATACCTATTCCTCAGTTTAGATTTTAAAGGATAAACGCTGCACTGCACCATAAAGTTCTTTGCTCGCTTCTGGCTGCATTTGCTGCTGCTGCTGCAGCTGCTGATGTTGCAGTTGCAGTTGCAGTTATTGTTGCTGCTGTCTTGGGGATCAGCGCCTGCCTCCCGTGCATTTAAATACAAAATATCAAAATTAGCATTTGTAACAATGGCGAATTGGCCGGAAAATAATGGAACTGACCTGGCCAACGATCATGGCCAAGGCATCTTGGGTATTGGCATCGCAGTTGCAATAGTTGCCAGAGTTCTGGCTCGTAAATCAGGCATTGGGCGGGGGAGTTGGCATTGGGGGGATCGGGGCCATTTGGGGCGTGCAGACGACAACGAGGACTACGAGGATTATGCACCAAATAC